TATTTTAAGTCACTTGTGCCTTAGTTAGAAAACCAATTAAATTATAATAATTATTGGACATTATTTACTTTGAGTATGTTGTTATTCTGTGTTCTTGTATGCATTCTTCAAATACATAGAAATTATTTAATGTACTGTACCCTGGTGGAACAGTTTTAAGAAACTAAAATATAGAAATTTGAAATTTAATTTGGAAAACATAATATAATAAAATTTTTTCATGGGGTATACTCACAAGTAACTCATGTGTATGCCATTCAATACAGTATCTTGAGCTACATGTTTACTGAATTATTTACAACTTCAAACAAGAAAATACTTGTTTTATGTTACAATTTGCAGTCATTCTATATAGAAAAAAGGCAATTTGGTGGTACAAGGTCAGTCAAATTGACCAAATGCATATAGAGTTAGGAAAGAGAAAATCCAAGATAAGATAGTTGTACTGAAAACAAATACCCATTTAGCAGTTTGAGCTTATGCTAATTAAACTTAACCTTAAAATTAATAAGTATTCTTAATCTTATCATAAATCACCTTGTAATCAAACTAAAAACTCTGACTACATATATTATATTGAAGGATAAATATTGAGTAAAAATTCTTAATTAGAAAATCTGAATTCTTGTGTACATTGTAATATTTACTAAAAGCCTGTCAAATTTTGTAAAGATATATTAAATTCTTTGAGATATGTAGGCCCTCGTGGTGGTTAGAAGGTCGTATAGAATATACGAGCCTGTATCCGTTACAGCACGGGCTCAGTACCTGGGACCAACATTGTAACCATTTTGTGCTTATTATTGTTTTCATACAATAACTTTCAAAATTAGTAAGTGAATGATATCAAAACTTGGCACATTTATCAGTAAACATTATAATGCTTTAATATGCAAAATATCAATTTTTTTTTAAGTTTTAAGGTTTGTAAAGCGATGTTCTCCTAGTGCCTTTTTTTTCTTTTCACGTGTTGCCTAACATGCAAAGTAAATTTAATTTTAAGATTAAAAATACTTTTATGCATCAAAAATTTTAAACATTTCACATGCAAAATCTTTTATAATGTCCAGATAGTTATCAAATGTGTCTTAAGAAAATACTTTGTTTTATCTGTTATTTTTGGTAATGAATCTTTGTTTGAATTCAGTAGACTTGACCGATCTTGTAACCACCATAAAAAAATTAGGAAATAAATGTAAATTTTGCCCCTTTCATTCTAGAATGAACACAAATTATAACACAAAAACAGATGTTTAGACTAAATAGCTTTACATCTCATAACATTATACATTTATATATATATTTATTATTATGTTGACCTATCAGCCATTCCTTGCTAACAATACAGAAGTTATAATGACGTGGCATACATACATTCATGTTACTGTATCCAATAACATAAAATTGACCTTGGTCTGTACAAAGTAACTTGTCTTGGCTGTGTTTTTGGTAAAATAGTCACATTTCAATTATTATACATTATATATATATTGCTATTTTGAAATAAGTTCTTAAACTTATTTTTCTTAAGACATAGAACAGTGAATAATGAAGTAATGCAAACAATTATCTATTCTAGTTATGACCATTGTACTCAGTTGCTGCTTGATGTAGGTTGCTAAGCTTTTAAAAAATTTGCACATGGAGGATATGAAACAAAATAATTTGTTTATATTTTATATATACATTTGAAAAACAAAAAATTCATAAGTTACTATATTAGTACCATATAATTCCACTAATTTATCAAGCTTTGTAACTAAGATGTATTTTAGTCCAAAAGAATATAAAATTCTGAGCAGACTAAAGACACACCCTACATCCTTGAAATATTGGTTAAAAAAATTAAATGATGTCTAAGCCTGTTAAAATGGCTGAGAAAGCCACTAGGGGGACATTCTGAGCTTCCAATTGGTTATTCATGTCATACATAGAACTAAGTGTGTATAAGGGAGTGTTTCCAAAAATGTAGAGGTGAGCTGGTGCCAATGTTTGATTTATTACATGAATAATATCCTGGCAAATAGAAGAGATAAGACATTATTTTATATTATAGTATATCAATATTGGTAATTTGAGTTTTTAATTCATATAAAACTATAGACTTAGTATTTTGACCTCACAAACGTCTAATTTGAAGCATTGCTGCATTCAATATACCATGTTACATACAAAAACGATGTTTCCCAAAGGGCTGTAAAAGTAGTTAAGAAAAGTTTTGGAAAGTCTGATAAAAGATGCTTTGCAAAGTCATTTAACAAAGTTTAGAATTTTATTGTATAGTGAACATGGTTTCACTAAGGGAACATCTTGCTTTTCAAATTTCTTGACATTCATTTAAAAGGTTACTGCTTATGTAGATGAGGGTAGGGGTATAGATTTGGTGTATCCAGATTTTCAGAAAGCATTTGACAAGGTTCCACATAAAAGGTTTGTGTGTGTGTGTATTTAGAACTTTTTTAATTGAGTTGTGAGTTGGACAAATAAATGGCAGATGGCTTTTAAGTAAATAAATTGCATTCTGGAAGAAAGGGGGGTTATTTATGTTCTGGTTGTTGAGTGTCTTAAACCATCCAAGCAGTGTGTTGTTGCTACTGGCAGAACAAATAGGATTTTGTATCTACAGAAATATTGGATACAAGTCTAAAGAGTTTTTAATTTCATTGTATAGTTCACTTGTTAGACCACATTTGGAGTACTGTGTTTAGGATGGACAGGTTGTCAAACGAGAATAGCTTAAGATTGCTGAAATTGTTCTTTTTCTTAAGAAAAAAGTTAAAGGGGATATGATTGAGGGGTATAAGATTACTAAATAATTTGATAGTATCTGCATCATATTTTTTCATACTTAATAGTGAGAATGATAGGACTAGGAAGGACAAATATAAATTTTAGTATTGTAGGAGTTGTTTAAAGAAAGACTAAGTATTTGAATGTGAAGGGCTGGCTTTGAGTTTATATACACACACACAGTTTAGTTTGCTTTGGTTTTATGGGTGAGACACCCAAGATGGATCATACAGGTCCCCTTTTATTATAAATGTACAATACAATAGGTTTTAACACTTTGATATATAACCAAATGGGGATATTGACTTAGCATAAAGACTGAAATGTAATCCTATCTTTCTTGGTTGAGCTACTTGGATTCAATTTCATAATACAAGTTTTATGCTAAAACTATAATGTGTGTTTTTGTTAAAATATATGTAGTTTGTAATTTTTGTTTGTAGATGCATTACTGGAATAAGTTAGTAAAGCCTGATTTTTGTTTTGTTATTGCCCAAGTTCCCTTGTTAAGCTTACATTTTGGCTATAAGTCAACTTGGAGAACTTAAACAAATATAACTAATGAAGCATCAGGCAGAAGTAAATGATTAGTTCACACTATAAAATATTCTGAAGCCTAGAACTGGCCTGAAAGTTGTTTTGGAAAGTTATAATGCATTTTGTTACAATAAGGCACCCACCCATTTCACAATCATCACTGCTAACAGTTCTTTCCATTGCTTTGATGTTCATACCTTTACAAACTTCATAAATAAACACAGCTTCAAAACAATCAGTTGTTTGTATATTAAAAAAACAATTGTATTTTAATTTGACTTGTAAATTTCTTTAATGCTAATTTTTATTTCATTTTTGTACTATCTCAAATGTGGTTCACATGAATATATAGTGACAGATTAGATATATGTCCACTTTTATGAAGTGTACAAGTGATAGAGAAAATTTCAGATAAAAAAAAAATTATAATCTAGGCTTCTACAAGTTTACAAAGTCCACAAACATGTTCACATTTGGATTTGCATTGGAATACAATTTTCTGTTATCAAAGACTAAAGCTAGCAACCATAAGTAAACTTAGAAGAAAAAACTGTATGCATATACAAAGTTGCAAAAATCTTTTTTTTTTTCTTTCATAATTTACAATTCTATTTTAGATAAGTTATTGCATTACATATATAAATTATTTGGGTATTTTATTCAGAGAAAAACTGATATGTTTAGAAATGTTTTATACATTTTGAAATTTGGTAGTACTGCATCAAAATGTTTTGGATGACAGGTTCATGTACTGGTTCTAACATGGTTAAACATGGTGCTCCCATTAAGGGGAAAAGTTGGTGTAAAGTAGGGACAGTTGTTCAAATGGACATATAGAAGAGTTGATAAACATGGATAAAACAAGGAAGTGGCAATAGACTATTTCTGGTGTTCCATTACAGTTGAAACAACTTTTTATTATTTTTTTTTACTGTTACTTGTCGGAACCTTGTGCCTTATGGAATAACCCTCTGAAATAGTGTTTAAAAGGTTTTTTAAGAACAGAAATTGTACTCCACAAAATAGAAAAACAAAATCTGTACCTTTAATAAAAACTAGAACTTTACAACGAAAGTCATGCTTGACAAACTTCAGCAATGGGAGAGTTTTAATGTCAAAGTTACTAGGACATAAAATGTTTACACATAAGTTATTTTTTGTTGAATTTACCATGTGGAGGTTAAATGCATTTGAACTATCATAATGTTTGTGTAGAGGACTTCTGTGATGAATATCTAAGAGCCAATCCAATGATGTTGATGATTTCTTTGTGTATCTGAGTGGCCCTCTTGTCTATAAGTTGTTTAAAATATATATATGTATGTACATCAACCGTAAATGAGGATTGGATTGTGTTTGTGCAGGAAGCTACTTCTGAAAGTGCACCCTTAATGACAGTTGGCAGTAGTTTATTAGAAACAAAGGAGGGGTTGGAGGCAGAACAAAACAAATCTCTCTCACTAGCTGTAACTTGTGTTAAGGTAAGCTAGACTGTGGATCAGTGATTTTTATCTGTGATATTAAAGTATTTGAAATTCACAAAAATACTATTAAAGCTTCCAACAAAATGCCAAATTCTTCTTCGTTTATATAAAGCATGCATTTAATCTATTGTGTAAGCTTGAAGTCTCTTAGATGGTAGTGGTGGTTTTTGGGGGGGGGTGAAAAAAACATCAAGTCAAAGTGAAAGCTTTGCCAATTTGCCTAATTTATTTACAAAATTGGTAATTATATTAATTTTAATAAACCTTTGCTAAATTTTAATCTAACATGTAACCACTAAATTTTAAGAATAGTATTTTCTTGTGACTGTAAATAACTAACATGGTTTACATGATTAAACTTGTCAGTTTTAGTAACATAAAAACAATTTACTTGAATGTGTAATTAACTTTTCTTTGTTAATTTATCACTTGTTAGAATAAATGTTTGATCTGTATGCTCGAATAATATTAAAAGAATTAGCATACCAATAGATCTGCTGCAGTGACTTAAACAGCTGCAGACAGGGGGACAGGTATGCCATAGAAATTTGACATTTAAATGATTATCTTCTGGCCATACTTGGCAAGTAGACCTCATCTATTTGTCACATTACAATTAAAGTTACTGTATTTTTTGTAGACACTAAATTTGGATCTACTCTTTTAAGTACTAACTAATGATACTACGAAGCACTTGCTGCTGTTGTTAACATACTTGAATTATTAATAGAACAGAAACCAGGAACATTGCAACAGATTTATTTTGGTTGAGATTTAAAATGACTGTAGTTTTGAAGGTGTTCGAAGTGTTGAATATGAAGCTTAATCTGATGATTTTTGATAGTATGGAGTATATTTACAATTTTATTTCTTCAAAATATAAACATTATATAATAAACTTGCGTGTTACTAGGATATTTTCTAGCCACTGTGTTACAAAACAATATTTGCAGCAATTTACTATACATTTATGTAGTCAGTGTAAAGATGCATTTGTGACATCTTAGTTTAAAAAAAAAAAAGGATTAAGAAATTTAAGCTTTATTTATATGGATATATAGTTATGGACCTCATAATAGTGTACAAGTATTCTAAATTTGGATCCTTGAAAATTGTCATGAAGATTTGTGAAAATCTTAATTTTGGTTTTCTAAGGTTGTATAGATCACATTTCACACAATAAAAACCTGCTTGGCACTTTTTATTCCCTAATAGTTATACTCAGAAATGTGAGAATAACAAAACGTGTTAGTTCAGTTTGATCAACAATAACACAAGGTTATAAAGCATCACTCTTAACAATAAAAGTATTTTTTCCATACATATGTTAAAATGTGTTTTATAACCAATACTTGCTTTATGTGTATTTTAAATTAATGGTTCTTATTACATCCAGAGTACTGAAGATAAAATATTTCAAACTATGAACAAGTTCTATCCCATTGTTGTTAAGATTATATATATTTTTGATAACACTAGGTTTTTATTACTACAGGCAGAAGATGGAACAGATATGAAACTGGACTTCTCTTTTGATTCAGAACTTACCCGCTTAACAGAAGGAAAACCAACAAACACTGCCATTAATAAAAGTACAACTGTTGGACATGCTATTCCAGTCTCTGTTAGCAGTGGCTGTGTTCAGTCTCCCATTTCTCCTTCCACTGATGAACTAAATATGAAAATAGCGTCTGTGAAAAAGGTGAATAGCAAGGAATTAAAACACTAAAATATTAGCAATTTTGTTTATTAAAAGAAGCTTAACCTTTCCATTTGATAATGTAGAAAGGTTTTGATTAGTTACAACTTTGAAGGAAAAGTAATGATGTAGAAATGAGAAACTCGTTATCATTATTTGGTATTTCAGATTTGAAATTTTTCAAAGTATAAATTATAATAATGATCAAACATTTTTACAGCTATACAAATTTTGAGTAATGGTTTATTAAAATAAATACCACTGTGACAAAGCTATTTTATTGCTCTGATTTCATCTGTTCACATGCTGTTCTATAGACCACACGTGTTGTATCTGAGCTTCATTGGTGTTTTTAATATTATCTTATTTATTTCAGAAAATAAATACTTTTATCATGAAGGGAATATTATGTTCAATATTTATGCCAATTGTTATATTTTTAGACAAGCATTATTGTAACACAATTTCATTCCAATAGTAATATTGAAAATGCCTCTGCAACTTTCATCAATAGGCCTAATGATTCATGAAATAGAAGTATTATCCAGATAGGTGGAATTTTGAATAATTTTATATTCTCAAAGAATTTAATTACAGAACAAAAAATATATATTTAGGGCTATAATTTTGTATGTATTAATGTAAAATACATAGAATTAAGCAGAATTTACATTTAAGCCAAAACTAATACTGGAATTAAATTGGTCAGTTTTAGATTAAAACAAGATTTCTGAGAGAAACTAAGAACAGACTTTTAACACAATTATAGGCATAAAGATTAAAAGAAATACTGAGTTGTTTGGTAAAACTGGTAAAGGTCTTGTATGCAATACAAATTTAAAAATTGTGTAAGGTTTTTCATATCCCTCACTTAGTTTAGGTAGTAATGGGCCTCTGTACTTGAATTTAGACAACCACCTGTAGAATACAACTGTAAGTGTACAATTAAGCCCTCAATTCATGTTTAAATAGGCCAAAAGTTTTCCAGTGCATTGTTCACTGGACTGTGGCTTGCATCTCATTACCACAAAAATATCCCACTATTTAGTCTGACAGAGTTGGCAGTGGATGGTGGGGACTATCTGGATTCTTGTAGTTTTGTATGAAATCTAACAAACCTTTTATCTTGTATATCATTGATATTATAATAGTTTGGTTTAATAGTAAAAGTATTGAAAGTAATACTCATGTTTTGATACTAATTTTTTTTTAATATTGTCTATTGACTCAAAATTCTGTTTGATAGTTATTTGCAACTTTCTTATGAAATGTGACTCATAAAGATGTATCTTAACATTTAGTATTTTTTTGTAATGTTAAATGACAGTTTTAACACTTGTGTATAATACTAATAAGTCACTAACTTGTTAACCTTGGCTGCTCTATTTAAGCAAAAGAAAAACCTTCAAAATACAAATGTCTAAATAACATTAGAAACTGGATTTTGATACCCATGGTGGGCAGAGCACAGATAGCCCATTAAACTACAAACAATTGTATCATTTGACTCTCTCACAATGGGCTCAGTCCAAGGGACCAACCTCGTAAACATTTGGTGCCTTCTGTAGTTTTAATACTATAACTTTGAATACAATAAGTGTATCTTCACAAAATTTGGCAGACTTTTAGTATACATTACATGACATTTGTATACAAAAAATCAGTTTTTTCCAATAAAGTATTTTCACTAAATTGTTCGCTAGTGAGAGTGCAAAATGAATTTTAAATTAAGATATAAACTTGCATATAAGATATAAATATAAACCTTTTTAATTTCCCAAATCATCAAAGTATAATGAAAAGTTGTGAGAGTTTGAACTACAAAACATTTCACATTTATTTTCTGTGCTTATTTTACTATCAAAAACTGAAGTAGAAATTTCTGAAAATAAAGCAACAAATCACCACTTGTGTTATTAGACTGTTTACATGACATCATAAGAAATAAGCAGACTTGACCACTGCTCTGAGAACACGATGCAGAATTTATCAGCTTGTATATCCTACAGTGTTTACAGTCAGAATTCCCCAGAGTAATAAGATTGTACTTTGAATCTGTGAAAACATTCAGAGCCAATCTAATAAACATTGCAAGTGTTTAAGTATTGATTATCCCTCTGAGATATTTGGAACTTAATGGTATGCTGTATAGACAGATATTATTTGTGTATATGGTTATAAAATTTTATTTCCTCTTCAGTAAGCTTATTCATCAACTAATAAATACTACTTATTCAGAAATGCTTAAATTTTAGTTGTTTTTATTAAAACTTAGAAGAATATATGAAAAATACTTAAAAAACAACAACAAAGATTTTGAGCACTTAGTGTTAGGTGATTTTGTGCTTGTGGGTCGTACATGCTAAGCCTTGTTTATTCTCCCGAGTTGAGGGTGAAGAGATATTAATTTTTGTAGGCTTCAACAAACAACTCTGACTTACATACACAGGCAACTGCTCTTTCTATTGGTAGTAAACACTTAATCAAAAGAAGTAGGTGGGACTAGAGGTTTCAAAAGAATGTAGTGGGAGGAGCCAGTCTACTAGATTGGCTAAATATATTGACATCTCAGGAAATCAGGGTGGGAGGTTCTTATTTTATATTCTAGTTTTTCTATATCTCAAGTTTGAGTTTCTAATTCGTTAACCACTGTACATGTTGTATGGTAGGCATTAGTAAAATTTAAATTGAGCAATAAGACAATAGATGCTTTGTGACAAACAAAAATGTATATTTTGCATTTTTCTTTTGATATTTCCTTTTTAAAATAAGAAATTAAAACAAATAATAAAATTTAAATTATAAACTACATTTTGATGTCAATTCAATTTATATCAGTAATGTTAAAGTTATTTAATAAAATTTTGAAAATACCCCTTCAATGGTCATGACATGTGCTCTTTAACGTGTTAGGAGGGAAGGGATTAATTCAAATAATTTTATTATAAATTTTAAAATGTTAATAAATCTGTCAAAAGCATAATCTACATTTTTACAGAAATTCTCAAAATTAATCTGTTTTGGATTGAAATGGGAGCAAAGACCAACTTTAGGAAGTTGGGCTTGTCTCAGTTCATCCACTTTATACATGAACAAACTTTTTAAGAGTAAGGGAGGAGGATGGGGGTTTAAAGTTTTGTTTAACATCACTTTGTAATTATTAGATCAAAGGGTGGAGGTTGAAAAATCTTAATTTTTAGGGTGGTCTGTTTCTACTACAAGAATATCGTTTTTTTTTTGTTTGTTTGTTGTTGTTGTGGTGGTGATTTACCTTCTTGTACATCTTATAACATCAAAGAGATTGGAAGTTTTACATTGTTTAAATTTAGAGTGGTTTATTTCTATTTTAAGGCTATATCTATATATTAAGAGTAACTGCCTTCCCACAGCTGGCTACAGACAGTGAAAGCAGTTCGAGTTAAGATGTGGGTTGAAGCAAGCAACTCCTAACTGTTAACCGTTTCTCTGTAGTTCTTGCACAGTTTGACATCTGCATTTGGATCTTGTCTGATACATGAAATATCCCTAATGCTTTTGGGAGCTATGGCCATAGACATTTTCCTGTTATGAGTTAATGATGACAACAAGGACTACTAATGAAAAACTATTTTTTTAATTTTTAAGTCTCATTTTTGAAAATGTTTATAGTAATTTTATTATTGTTTTATAGTGCTTATTTGACTACCTATATGCAATTAGTGTATTTAATAGTATCAGAACAATTTGTTCTTTTATATAGAGAGAATTTTGTTACATTTTGGTTTTGAAACCAATATTGATTGTGTCTTATTTCCATTATTTTAGGTTTGGGAGGTAGTGCCACCATTGCCCACATTACTAGAACATACTCCTTCGGCAAACACTCCGTGTTCAGATGACATATCTTCAGTAAATACCTCCTCCAGCTTTGCTTCCATCTCCGGCTCAGTAGAGCAGTCATTTACATCAAGTGTAGACAAATGTCAGCCTAGAGATAATCCTAATGCCACAATTGAAACTGTGAAAATAGCATTCAGGTACAAATATTAAATGTGAACAAAATTTTTTTATTATTAGAGATAAAACCTTATATTACCAATATCAGATATTTTTAGTAAGTTCTGTACCTAGAACTGATCATAGTTTCTCATTGCAGATCTAGCTCTCCATTACAGCAGAGTCCATCTGTTCCCGTGTCAAGTAAGACTGCTCTAAGCTGTGACTTGAGTAATGTTTGTAAAGTTAAACCACAGCAGATTCAACCCCAGTTGGCTAGTCAGCCTTCTGCTGTTGTTGCCAGTCCTCCACCCATCAGTGGGTTAGAGACTGCCATGGCCAGCATCAGAACTATAGCAGGACTAGCTAGCTCTGTCCAAGTGGCTGGAATACCTGCCATCCCAAGCCCACCAACTGTGCTCTTCAATTCTTCTCAACAGGTAAGTTTGAAATTGAGTCCAGGTTAACACACACACTGCTGATAAAAGAATATATTAGTGAACCATATGGATATACTTGGGTCAAAATATGTGTCATGACCTTTTTAAAGAATTACATTCAAAACTTAAACTTGTTAATTCAAATTTATCTGAGTTTTAAATTCTTAATTATTTCAAAAGCAAATATTTAAATAAGTTCTTAATCTGCATCTCTCTTAATCACATGATGCATTGATTTGTTTTCCTAGTTAGATATGTTTCAAAGAGCCATAAAACAAAAGAATTAAATAAAAGCAAATGTGAAACTGTTAGAAACCTGAGGCTGTTTAGAATCAATAATTTTAATTGTTACTACCTGCAGTCATCATAGAAAAAAAGTATTTTTGGTTTATTTCATATTTTGGTAATTTTACCATAGGTTATTTTCCTAAATTTAGTGTTATGGTAGAGAAAATAAGAGGTACAGTGCAAAGTTTTACAAAAAACAAAACTGATATACATTTAGGTAATTCTAGAAGTTGTACAAATGTGAAAACTAAGATGGAGCCTTTTTATTCTTAGCATGAAAACCATATTTCACTCTGACTGACTCAAAGTAAATTCATACACAAATCTTTAGTAAAAATACTTTTTTAAGAGTTGATTTTTTGTGTGAAACATACTTGTAATGTTTACCAAAAGTATGCCAGATTTCATGAAGATACACCTAGTAAATTCAGAGGTACAGTATTTATTGTTTCATGTTTACAAAGGTGGTCAAGATGATCAAACCTGTATACATAGTTAATATGCAAACTCCCATTATCCTTGATCAATGGCTTTTTCTTTTTGTCATGACTCATCCACAAACAGTATTAATGGAAATGATAAAAAAAAATATACTTTTGAACAAATGAGATAGGGATAGAATTAGGATTGTGAGGACAGTAGTCATAATGTTTAAAGATCATGTGGATTACATTATTTAAGTTTAGTATGCTTTGATTCTTATTTAAAAAATAAGAAATTAGAATTACTTTTTTTCTGGTAGTAAATAGTACTTTGTCAAAGAATTCTGATTATGTAGATTAACTTAGTCTTCAAGTGAAATGATACAATTTTTGATAGTCAAAAATATTCAAATAATTAGTGAAAATTTGAAAAGTTTTTTTATTTATAGTGAAAAATTGTATGGTTCTTAGATAGGATAGTTTGTGTTTAATATATTGTGATATTGTATTGTAAAGCTTGTTGTAAGAACCTGCATTGTAAGAAGTTTTCATTGTTTTGATTAATACCTGTTAAATCTGTTTTTCCTTTTACAGCTTCCCCAGACAGGATTATATCAACCTTTACAGATGGATAGTTCTCAAGTGCTCAGCCAGCAGTCACGGGCAGTGGCGGTGGCAGCAGCAGCAGCCATGGCTCAGTTCACTCAACCAACTCATGGATATCCTGCAGCAGCTTTAGGAAATTATGGTTTATCTCATCAAGCAGCCCCAGGGCCACAGCTTTCAAGTGCATTTGGTCAACAAAGTGTCTTTATGCAGACACCAGCACCACCTGGTGCCCATCAAACTGGAGACCTTTATTCCTCAAACCAGTTCAGAGTTCAACCACCATACCAGAGTCAGCATGTGAATTCAAATCAGGTACCAAACTTTGCTGATTGTATATGGATCTGTGAAGTGAAACCTTTACAGAATCACCAAAGTGTTATGCAATAGTGTGCGAATTGTTCATTTTTATGTACATTTCAAACGGTTGATTTCTAGCTGCAGTTTGCTAATATTTCTTACTAATTTTGTTTTGTGTCCTAATAGTATTTTTGGTTAAAATATTGTTTTTAAATATGTTAACATTTTTAAAATCATTAATACCATGGCCTGTTTTATTTTTTATAGTCGTAATAATATTTTGGAATATTTTATTTCTTTAAATCCTCCCTCTTTATACTTGTTTAAATATAATATATTACTCTTGAACTATTGATGATGTGAATGGATTTTGATTTAGAAACTGTATAATTTTTGTTTATGAAGGTGCTTGTAAATCTTTGGTAGCGCATGATGAGTATTTAGTAACTCCAATATCATTTAAATCTTTTCAGACCATAGAGATGCTACTGATATTACCTGGTTTTTTAACCCAATTACATCAAACTTAGGACAATCTTTTAAACTTTACATAAGGGAGAGGTGCATTGTGTAATTTGTAGCCACCATTAACATAATTTGGCAGATTATCAGTAAATATCACAATGGTTTCATACGTAAAATATAAAAATTTTTTATTAAGTATCAAGCTTCATAAAGCAATGTTTTTCTCGTGTATATTTTTTCTTGCCTATTTATCATGCAAAGTAATAATCATTTTATGATTAAAAATACTTTTATGCATCAGAAAATTTTGAAATTTCACATGCAAAATCTTTATAATGTCAAGATAGTTATCAAGTATTTCTTAATGAAAACTTTATATTTTATCTATTATTTTCAGGTAGATTTAACCAATCTCACAACCACCATAAAAAAAATTACAAAAAAAAATTAAATTATGCTTCTTTCATTCTAGAATGAACACAAATTATAACATGAAAACAAATGTTTAGAATAAAAGGCTAAATTTCATAACATTATATATTTATTATTTTTATTATATTGACCTTTCAGCCATGCCTGGCTAACAATACAGAAGTTACAATGATGTGGCACACATGCACTCATGCCACTGTATCCAATAACATAAAACTGACCTTTGGTCTGTATAGAGTAACTCGTCTTGGCTGTGTTTTAGAAGACTATTATTTTGTAAAATACAGTCACATTTCAATTATTATACATTATATATGTATAGATTATTGCTATTTTAAAATAAGTTCTTAAACATATTTTTCCTCAAACATCTAAATAAAGAAGTAAAACAAACAATTATTTCTTCTAGTTACAACCTTTGTACTCGTTTGCTGTAGGTTGCTAAGCCTTATCATTAATCAAGCTAAGTAACTAAGCTGTATTTGGGTTTTAAAGAATATGAAATTTTGAGCTCACTAAAGTCTTACCTTACTGCTTCATATCTAGGATAAAAAGAAAGAGTTTGCTGCCCGAATACTTTAAAGACTCATGTTTATAGGGTTAAACAATCCACTTAGTATATGAAATTCAGTAGTATCATTATGAACTTAAACTGTTTTCAGTTGTAAATGTTTATGTAAAGTAGATGACAAATCATGGAACTGTAACCTTAAATTTTATGACACTAATTAAAAAATGTTTGAAACATTTGCTTTAAAGATTTAATGAAGTCAGGAATAGTCTAAAAATATTCGAGAAAACAGTAGATTTTGTCTGTATATATTAAGTCAGTGGTTCTCAATCTGTGGTACATGGCCTCCCTTCAGGTGGTCTGTGGAAAGGTTGCATACTTACAGAAATCAGTATCATAGTTTATAGATCCCACAAGCTTAAAAATAATCTAGTTTGAGAACCACTATTTTAGATTGTTTCAAATTTGTATTATAACTACAGTACTAGTAAAGTATACTTAAAGTAGTTTTTATAATTTTAGGATTTTGTATTAGAAAAATGCACTTTACTATCCAGTAGCAAGTTAAACTCATGACCTTTGTATGTTTCTGTTGATTTAAGTTTGAATAGATTTTTACTAACTTTATTAAAGTATACTTTGTGTGTGTTCTACAAGTTTTAAATATAGTGTTCCAGGCTATATTTTGTGCTACTTTTTTGCTCATCTAACTTGTGTGTTTTTAAAAAAAAAAAGTGATACCTTACTTTGTGAAAATATTTGTCAAATGAAACAAGTTCAGTGATGTGGTAAAAATATCTAATGTTATGTGCCTCCTTTAACTATAAATATAGAAACTTCACTTCTATAGTAAGGACTTTTTGTGTGATGATTATCTGTAGTAATGTGGAAAAGGTATTGAGATACTTACCTTATATATATGGAAGTAAGTGTTTGAGATTTCATCAAACTCAAAATAAACTGCTGTCTTTTAAAAACTAGCTAAATGGAAATAATTTCCTGTTTAAAACTTTCTTGTTCACTCCATTATCAGAGTTTTTGAATGTTAGATAAAACTAACTTTTTGTAAAATGTATTCAGCAAATCATCTGTATGAATTGTATGCCATTGTACATGGCCATTTTTGTGTCCACCTGTAGAATATAATATTCAGATATTGACCAATATAGTTACTGTCACTGGTACATTTTTTAAATGCAAAATTTTCATTTTTAACAAATGGCTTCAAAAATATAAAACGTGAAAGAAAAGTATATTAAAAAAACATAAAAGCACATTAGATCTCATGAATATATTCACACAGTAAATGTATAATACTGTAGGAATTAAAGTTTGTAATTGCATGTTATTTTGGAAGCTTTTAAAAGTGCAAATGAGAATTTTGATCTAAGTTGCGAGTATAAAAATAGAAACGTTTATTTGCATATTTAGTATCTAGTAAATAAGTCTCGCAGACAGAATGATTGTGCCACTGTATTATAACAGAACTATATCTTGTAATGTACCAAATACATAATTTGTACTAGAAACATCATGCAGGTATCAAATTACTGTAACTTTAGATATACCTAAATTTTTCATAAATTCCTAATTTCAAAGATCTGCTCGCTGTGAAATTTAATTGAGTAAATTCAACCTTTGTGTTCAAAGAGTAATGTTCTTTTAAATGTATGTGACTGACTTGTTTTAATATATATATATATATATGAATCGTGTGTGTGTGTGTGTATATTCCAGTTGAGGAAATAGTGAGTTGAGGATCTTTGCAAACATAAATGTTTTCGTTTTGATTTAGTTTGTGTAATGTGCATTTACGGTTTTACAAAAAGTCAGCAGTTTTATATTACATTGTATTAATATTTTACAAGCTGCATGTGAGATTCTAGGGAAAAAAATTGTGAAGCTCAAAAAGGTGTTGACAAAGAATTTGTGAAAGATAAAATTAATTTTTTCAACTTTTTTTTCCTGGTTTGTAAATTGTAATGGAAGCTATTGAGTTCAAATCAGAATATCTAATGAGAGTAGATGTGTTCTTCTCTTCAACAGGTTCTTAATGTTAATGCCCAGCAAAACCTTCAGGCTTCTCATCTACTTGGATCACAACTAGTCCAAGCCAGGGCACCCCCTACTGGACTAGGTCTACAGCCTGTTCAGGCTGGCCCAGCCACTTCTTATTATTCATCTACTCCTCAGGCTCAGGCAGGACCCAGCTTTTATCAGCAGCCAGGAACTGCCAATCCAGGGTCCTCTCTTCAGCAACAGGCTCAGTTTCCTGGCTTGCAGAGTTTTGGATCACAGGCAACACTCGGAATGATTTCATCGTCCTCTGCTGTTAGCCAGAATTTCCGAGGGTTTGGAGGCCACCAGTTCAAAGGAACTTTAGTGAACAATATGACTTCAGGAGCTGAATCATCATCTCCATTACGGTCTAGCTCCCACTCTCCCACTTTAGACACAGTTTCAGTGTCTCTGTGTGGCATGTTTCCTGGAAACACTCCAGTCTCTGCTGCAGGGGCTGCCACCTTGCATCCAAATAAAGTTCTTAATCAACCAGGAGCCACAGGGATTAATAGTGGAGTGAGACTTGGGGCATCGATTATGAATGAACCTTCTCACTATGGAGCAACACAGACCAGACAAGCTCCATACTCGTTTAACCAGCAAAAGTTTGGCCCAACTTCTGCACCAGTGGTTCGACCACCTGTGGTATTTCCTGTCCGCAACAGTTCACCATCCACTAATCCTGGAACTGCTTCTTGTTATCCAAGTCCAATTCAACGTCCAGCTAGCCACATGGCTCCTGCTGTTCATCTTCAGTCTCAGACCAAAGTTGGTGTACGGAATCAGGTAGGTCCTTTTACTCTCACCATTTAAAAATTTTGCTGTTGAAGAAGTTAAAATTGTTCTATTTTTTGTAAGTAATGAATGTTGAATGAGTTACTCTTGCTTACCTGGCTTTATAACAATAAAACAGCCATTCCAGCAATTTTGCATGTGATATTAAGTTTTCAAACAACATCTTACTCAAACTATACGTGTGTAAAAATGCTCTTAACAACATTTCCATATTCTCAGTTATCTAGTGGGAAGCCTGTTTCACAGTTGACATCGGCCCAGCAAGCTAAACTTCGAGCTGAAGCCGTGCAACAGACACAGATGTTTTTCACTCAGTCGGCGGGGCCTACCAGTAAGTCGGGCCGAGAAGAAGATCCCACCAGTAAAATCTCAGCCGACAACCCTGAGATAGAGTTAGATGGTTCCAAGGAAGAAGAAAAGACTGAAAGTTCTGAAACACAGATTGTAAGCAGTGACAACACTCCTGATAATGGAGAAATCTTAGAAGAGTGATTTTTCTTACTTAGTGAGCTTTGCACTCCAACTTGATTGTCCTCTTTACTTTTATGGCTACTGTGAACTCGTGTGTCTTTCTGAGTTCTTTATAAACTGGATGTCTTGAACGTTTATTGTAACTTGTTCATTCAAAAGTGAAAGTTTGTAGCCTCATGCCACTGGGGCATTAAGATGAAATCTTCTTTTTCATAACCTTTAGGTAATTATAGAAATTTCTTTGTAGATTCTATTTAATTTCAGCACAGTGAGATGATTTGTGGCATAACCAGCTCCAACCAACATGTCCGTGAACTGATCAGAGACTCAAGCTGCACATTTACCCAGGGATTACAGTATGGCAGGGGTAGGGAATCTGGTGACAGATCTCTGTCAGGTGAAGGGATGTTACCATTCTGTGGACCAAAATGGCTAATGGACATTACCCCTTGTATTGTGAATGTTTCTTTATGGTTTTAAGTTTATCTTTAAGGTGACATTGTATGTCTTTCACGTTTAAAGTCAGTTATGTAGAGAGAGGATCAAACATTACCCATTTTGTGCCTGAGCTTCCCCCCCCCCTTTCAGATTTGTATTGCACTTTTTTTTTTTGTCATATAGTTGATTACCAGAAAATTATGCGAAACAACAAGAGCACTCAAGCCCCAGTGCTTCTTGTACTGCATATGTAGGTTACTGAGAAACTTGGGTGTGGCATATTAATCTTCTACCTAGTAGGGCTTAAGGCTTTGTCTCTATTGTTTTGAATGATTGTAGCAAGGGACTGATAACCCTTTGCCCAGACTTGTTTTTACAAGTATATGTTGTACCTAAATCAACAGTTTCAATCTGGCATTTTATACAAGTGTCGTAAATTACCCTATGTAGTGTAGGCTTGCCACACAAAAAAAAGTGAGCATGCAGGCACTGGTCCTCTCTGTCTTTACTTGATGGGGTCAAATGATACACAATTCTGTAAAGTAAGGTTTGGCCCAACTACTAATATATGTAGTTGATTTTTGCTGCAATAAAGCACTGTAATTAATGAGGATTGTCTTGTGCAGTGAATATTTATGGCCAGTTGTTGTGCGTATATGTATTTCTAGGTAAATTAAGGAATTCCTAAATTTCAAGAGAAAACTGTATTTGTACTACAACTAGCTAGTTATTCTTTCTTCATCTTTTGAGCATAGATTTTGTGAAAGCCTTTTTTTCCAGTCTTCAAATTTTTCATTCACATGTTTCAGTCTAGAAATTCTGTAAAAGATCATTTCACACAAGTAAAACTTGTCATTTTTGAAAATGTCTTAGTTTTTACTTAGTACAGCATTATCTGTGTATGAGAGAGAAAAAAATTGTAGCACTCGTACGCATATCTGAATTATTTAAAACTACTTCTGTACATACATCACAGAAACACATCGGAATTTTGTATAAAGATAAAACAAGGTTCAACAGCCATGAATGACATATGGGCTAGTTTCACAGAAAGAGGGAATATTAGTTTACATAGAAAGAAACAATTTTTTTTTTTAAACATTGTGTGTCAATCTTTTCATCTAAATAACTTAAAATATTCCATGTAACTGATTTACAGTTTTACAAATGTTTGTTACAAATTGGGAAATGTTATGTAATATTACTGAGTGCTTGTTTGTTTTAATGTGATGTGTAGGACTTCCAATAAATAGCATGTTTTTGGCTTCTTGAAATTTAACCATTTTTGTTAACATGTAATCAAGAAATAGCTAACTATAATATCTATTTATAGATAGATTTTATCACTTATTTTTTTCAATAAATTACAAACTAAATTAAATCCTTGGTTCAGTCAAAGTGGAGAGGAAGATTGTATCCTAAAGATCATTTTTTTTTTAAAGAAACTTCTTGTAGTAGTAAAATTTTAAAATATTTGTAGGACTTTAAAACAAATCTCGTGCAACTACACCATTGTTTCAACAACAGGTAAAATTTGGGAAGTGTTATCCATTGGAGAAAAAGCAATGGAAAATGGATTGCTAAATCTTTCATCAACGAAATTTTGAAAAGTGAGGTACTACGGTATAACCAAGTAAAAACTAATGCATGCAAATGTAATGCACTGCTTGTCAGTTGTCTTCCCTACAAATATTTAAAATACTAGTCTGTATGTAGGTGTGTTCTTGAATAAGTTTCATTTGAATATATTAAGCTCTTTAACGTGTACACACAATTGTCCTTGCTAGGAATGATGGGTAGTTGGTCTGGAAACATCAATTCCTATAAATCATTTCAACTTTCATGGTAATTCTATTCTGCTGTCACCCATAATAGGAAGTTCTCACAGAAACTGATTCTAACATTAATTAGATGGCTTCATAATTTGTAGTTGAAACTTGTACCATAACCTCATAATATAAATAAAAACTGTCCCCTATACACATGCACACATAATTACTTCACTGAAAATGTAAAGATGTAGTATATATATTTTCACAAACCAGTTTTAAAACAAAGGTAGTTTTTCCAAAAGTAAAATTTATTGTTAGGGAATTTGAACATTGAAGTTTGTCATATTAAGAATATTAAACACTTAGTAAATTGAGGTAGTGGAAATATTTTGGTTGTATTTTAACTACTCAGACTGACAGATACATGTTTGTAACAATTAAAAATTAATTAGCTTTTTTTTCTAATCTTGATTTATAGAAACCTTATGTTTAATTCTATGTTAAGTGATGTACTAAAATTCACAGTAGTTTTGCTAATGCTACAAATATATGTAAATTTTGCAAACTATACTCAACATTCATTAAGAGAGCTCTATAAATGTTGTCTGACATCTTATGACAACACAGTGTGCACTAAATTAATATTGAGGAATTCTTAATTGTCACACTCCTACATTTAAGTTTTTCCAAGAAAGAAATGAGATTTTAACACTTTGATCTTGTAATTTCATCAAGGTATTTGTAAAGCATCATTTGAATTTTATTTTTTCCATGTCAATAATAATGAACAGCTTCTGTTAATTACATATGAACAAATATTAACAATTTTTCACAGAATTGCTCAATGAATTTAAGTTTTTTCTAAGGCAAAAATGTTTAGTAATTTCAGTGAAAATGTCTGTACAAAAAAAGACATCTGTATATTCGTAACTTGCCTGAAACTGAAGCACACAGTATGTGTAAACTAGATGAACATGCATATTAGATTTAAACCATTAAAAACTTTACATCATATATATATACATAAAAATTCACAATCTTATGTATAGTACTTTTAAAAACTTTTACATAAAAACAAAAATACGGCTTCGGTATAATTAACCACTACTACTTTTTGAAGATATGTTTAATTTTCTGTATTGTTTTTCCAAACATGAATTAGAATGTTGTGTAGTCTAATTCTTTCAATAATGGATAGGATGGATTCAATACTTCTTTATACAAAATATTTAGGAAGGTGAAGGTAGGAGACGGGGATAATACAAGTTTCACCACAACAAGTGATGAATTTGGGTCAAACATTGGATCTTGTTCGATTTCAATTTTAAAGCAGGATAACATTTAATTAAAATAAACTGCTGAAGTTTAGTCCTATTCTAATGTGTTTTTCAAATATTAATATAAAAATTTATTTTAATAAATGACTGTTATGAACATGATTGGCAAAGATGTAGGAATGTAACTTGTTAAACAACACGTACAATACTATCTCCGTGAAGCTGGTTGATTAATTAAAAATTACACTTAAATCTGTTAATGGTGTGAAAACAAGCTATTGGGTTATTCCATCTATATTCAATCAAAACATTCCCACTTTCAGTTAATTGAAGGTTATTAAACTACCAATTTCTGCTACTCACTCTAAACACTGGTGGTCCCAATTTATATAAACTGTTAAAAGCTATTCTTATTGTAAAATTTAATAAGCCAGTGATAAATGATGGAGGAGATTACAAAGGATGGTTAATTAGAATTATCAACCATCTATCTCCAAAGTTCAGTTAAGAAGTGTAACAGTAGAATCAAGTTGGATCAACCACTTGAAAACTCTTGATTCAAATAAAACACTACAGTGCTAAAAATATATAGCAGCAGACAGCTGTGCGTACTTCGTTTATTTCTGCATCATTCTTATGAAGAATGTACTCCATAGTGCTACACTGTCATAAAGCTGAGAAAATCCAGTTTTTAACTAGAAGATGGGTGCACTACATCTTCAATTGTGAAAATAACTGAGATTGGTGTGTAATATTGCAGCATCACTATTTCACATTCAGTCATGAGGGACGGGCACAAAATGCAAGTGGACTACACAATTGCAGCACTAAATAATCACTCCACATTCATCCAACAGTTTTTATCTTTTATTTAGTATGCCTTAGCAATGGCATTAAAGGACTACAATAATGAAGACATTGCTATAGTTCAACCTTTCTAAAACAATATGGAAGAATAGTAATTTGTATTGTGGGTTTTGTGCAGAAGACTATTCCATTTCTTTATGATCCTGTATCTTTTGCTTTTGAAGAAATACTACCGTTTGTTCATAGTATGGGGTGGGTTTACTAGATGACACTGTTACTTGTGCATGTTAAATACCTTTGACATTTTCTAAGCTAATTTGCTAGATTCATCAACTACACTAAATTAAAAGTGAATTTGTGTATTTTAAAAAATGTTTTTTTATATATCCTGATATACTCATGGTTATTGTAATTTTACAATATATTCAATAATAATACAAATTTCCATGAACATTTTTGTATTGGATATTTATGGAGTAGTGGGAGGGTGCTGAAAGTCCCACAGAGCTAATGGTCTTTATTCTTGTAAAGTTCAAAGACACTAACCAAAAGAAAGGGAATTAAGTTTGAAGAACTAACTACACAAGATCATTAATTATGATCTGCAGTCCGCCCTTTTCTGAATAGAAAAGCAGTGTGATTTAGACCCACCACCTGGTTGTTAGGAGTTTCAGAAACCAAGAATATTCCTTTTAGTTGTATCATGTGTAAGTAAGTTTAGAAACTTAATTTGCCAAATATTTATATCCGATCTAACACTAAGGAATTCTTTATGTAGCCAAGAAAATAAAAAATAGAGAAATGTACTACAGAACATTTATTGTTAAAAAAAGAAGAGGTGGGGATATATGCTTATTTACATAAAAAGTAGTCTTTTTAAATTTACTACACCTTCTTATTTACAATACTTTAAAAACCACAGATGTGTACCCACTACATATTAATGAAACTGAAAATGGAAGTTATGATATACCGACAATGCGACTATCAACTGTATGTGCCTTAATGCTGGAGTGGAAAAAGTATGAACAGAGGACCTGAAATGATTTGAGAACATGAGATTTTAGTCTCCATTTCAGACGCACTAAGAGTCCTGAGAATACTTAATAGCATATTCAGCTGCCTTTTCAACTGCCTCTTCAATTTTCAAGAAAATGTCAGCTTGTTTTGCTATGTTCTGCAAGTAAACCCGACCACGATTATAGTCTTTAACAGCTTGAGAGGAGAGCTGGAAAAAAAAAAATAGTCGTTTTAGTTTGCATCACAGCCAAGATAAAAAAGGTCTTAGCAAACTGAATAGCCCCGAGTTTAATTAAATATATAACTTTGCAATCGTTCAAAGACAGATTTTATGGCTGACACATGCTTTAAAGAAGTATTTATTGTTAGGACTTACTTTCTCTCCATCAATAGATGTTGATTCTTCTATGTCTTGAATACACAAGACAATCTGGCGTTTCTTGTCTTTCTCACTTTCTCGGCCTATGTAATGAGCAGCCTGCAAAAAGATATATTGAGATTAGTTCTTAATTAGGTTGAGAATATTTCTAAACACTACATTCTCTCTCTCTCACTGAACTATTTATTACCACAGAAATACACACATAATACTAAAAGACTACAAAAACATTGTATAAACATTTATTGGTCTTTTTTCTTTGAAAAGTCACTTCAGGTTATATGTCTTACTCACTAAGTGTTAGCCCCTTTTAAGGGTAGGCTAGCAAAATCTGTCTACATCCATCAATTAGTTCTTAGCAAGGATTCTAAAATATACTTACTGCTATCATCTGGGATAATGATCTGGATTCCTTTGTTATAACAAACAGTAAAACTTTACATCTCTCTATAATGTTTCTCTCCATTTGCAAGAACTTTTCACTGCATGTATGTTCTTCTAAAGGATATCCATAAGTTAGTCCATATTTTCTGAAAAAAGATGAAATAATAACAGTACATTACATGTATAATTTTACTGGTTTTATATGTATATGTAGACAGACACACACACATACATACAGTACTCTCCTTATTAAGACCACCTCTGGGTCTGAACAAAAGTGGTCTTACTAAGGATCGACCAGTTCATCAATTAACTGTAAAATATTTGAATACTGAATTGTAATGTGCGATATTTCTTTGTATATTGTACATACAAACTATTAATAATTATTCATTTCTTGAATATTTTCTATTTAAATTAGGTAATATAAATAAAAATAATGATAACAATAATAAAATTTTTCTACGAGGTACACTCGCTAAGACTAACAGCTTGCGAGTAGCACGAGCTTTATGTAATTTGATTAGTGTAACATTTGCTTCATGTTACCACATATTTTGAAAATTACAGTCCAGTAAAAGTGAATGAGAAACACCAGAGTAATTTAAAAGCGAAATGCTGAACATGATTGCAGTCAATAACAACCGCACCTGTTAATGTTTATCGTAAAAAAAAAAACAGCAGGTGGTCGCAACATGGAAAGTCAACAATGGCATTGGGACTGATTTCAGTAGTCCTAATATGGAATAGGGTAGTGGTCAGCCTGGGGTAGTATTTTATAATGGTACAGATAAGCAAATTGTTGGAACTGTAATATTTTGCCTGCAATAGGGGAGTGGTCTCCTTGGGCAGATGGTCACACAGGGAGAGTCCGCTATATATAAGCTCTGTAATGATTCTTAACTAATTATTCACTAAAAATGGTAAAGTGGAAACCAACACAATTACATTATGTATGAAAAAACTGAAATTTTATAGGGAATAACTCACTTGAGAATGGGTATAGCCACATCTTCTCTCCATGAGCCTGAAGATCCTCCGAGATAGACATCTTTATAATTACAGAAGGGTTGTATCCAATCTAGGCATTAAACATAAAACTTCCTCAGAGGTTATTTATTCTGGTCTCAAGAACCATTTCAAATAATAAAACTACTCATAATGTGCTGACAATTTTTATGACACAAAGTTATTAGTAACTTTGAACAGTAGTAGCCTGTCTAACATATATTCCACATTTATAAAGTTTAGAATCATCAAAATAAAAAAAGACACAAGTTGGATGCTATAAAGTTTGAACAATGTGAACCTTTTATAGTGTGTGTAAATCATTAAGTTTTAAAAATATTTCTCTTTGTTTAATGCAAACTGGAATTTGCTGTTAATGTAAATAATTCCAGAATGTATCTATTAACTCAATATTTTACTATTAGAACTTCATCAGGAACTGTCAATAACCATACAAGGTAAGGTATTGTTAATCCTGCTGAAACAAAATTGAAGCACTGTAATAAAGATGCGTTTTGGAGGTATAGGTCACTATCTTATTTACATTAATAGAAGTATTAAAAATGTGTGGAGATACAAATCAAGAAGTCATGTGACAACAGCTAACATACAGTAGCAATGTAATGGCATTTATTATCAGAACTACATTTTAAGACTGGCATTCCTAGGGAATGCGGTGCCACTGATAACTGACTGTTTTGGGGAAGGTTACGTAACAGCCTTTTCCAATGCAAAATATTCATACAGTCAGATCATAAAGATGTGTTCAGAATCGGTTTAAAATTTCCAATATGAAGATACCACTTGTATTTAATGGCACTGGAAAACAAGGAAATATGGATTAACTTGGGGCACCAGGACCACCTGGAAAGAAACCTGCAAAGTGCATCATTTTGTAACAAGTGAGAATACATGAACACAAATGTCGATAACAAAAGCCATATACATGTCCCAAGCAACAGTATACAACATAACCAAGAAGTATCTCCAGTTGAAAAAGCTACACAAGTTGATTGTATGATATATCCATTTAATAGTGACATATATCAAACAGCTGGAGAATGAAATGTGTATATATTTTATTCCATACAAAGATCATATGAATGTTAAAAGAGACACTTAGGAACCGTCATCCTTGTACATTAGGTGCCTTATGAAAAGCATGAAGGGAGCAGTGATGTGCTTTTGACAAGACAGCCTTTTGCAATGGAAACCATGCTGCAAGGCTATTGTTAAGATGTACAACCATCAAATAGAACATGACATGATGTGGCTACATGGCCTGTAACAACTTGGTGAGGCTTCAAAATAGTTTTAATATAATGTATTCTACCTCTATATACATTCACGATCACCAACAAGTAAACAGAAATTAGCATCTTTAGCCCACTAGACCTTATGCTTCTTTTTCAAGTGTCACATTTGGACTATAACCCAAAGTACAGATGGAAAATTAGTAGTAGCAGTATAATAGTAAAATGACTTAAGTAAAATCGTATTTTCAAAGGAATATTAACAATGGATTGTAGAAAACAATACAATCACTGAACATAAGACTGATATTGCAAGTAAAAATACTTTGCATTTTAAAGTAAAAGAAGTTAAATGTTCTTTCTGTAAAAATAGGCTAGGATATAAGGTACCCGCAAAATAAAACCTTTTATATGAGTACAGTATATATATATATAAACATACATACACATTTCTGGAAAAGTGGCATGGGGGAGAAAGTGAGAAAAGAAAGACATTTATGGAACATTAATACAATTATTTTATATATAGTTTTATTTGATTATGCGGGTACTGTAGAAGTGGATTCACATGTCCATGAATGTCTTTCTTTCCTCACTCTCTCCCCCCTCCCCTAAAAAAAAGTGTACATGGAAGAGAGAGAACTTATTTGAATCACACCCAAAAAATTCTTTAATGTGATACTTACCAAAAAATTGCAACACTGGCTGGAACACAGTGTGCATAAAGTTTTTAATAAGGCAGGAATTTTTCTGTTGCTGTTGGTAGGAAAAAACAAAACATATTCAATACAAAACTAGTAGCTTTCCACAAAAATGCTCATTTTTATCATAGTTACTGATAAAAACACAGCCAAGACCTTTATAAGTTACAATAATCTCATGAGAAATTCATGACTATTACTGGAGGGATTTAGACATTTTGACAATAAAGTTAGAAAAAAAAACTTTACTCTCCAGATAATAATAAAACTTTTTATTCAAGCCAATGTTTTACAATTGTTCTTGTCCTACTAGCCCTGTTGAAACTGCAATGGTGAAATGTTTGCTGAAATACAAATTTTATTACTACTACCTGGAGAGAGAAAGGGTGATTATTCAAGAATGAAAAGTTTTGGTAGTTGGGATATAAAACTACACAAGAGTTACTTGCACTGGCTATCCCTAGTTTTCAACTGACAGACTAGATGGAATGTACCTAGTCAAGACCTTGGCTACTCTAATTATAGAATCTAATTGTCACTCTTATAACACAATCATGGTCCCAAAGAGCATGATTTTGAAGCATGGGGCACAAACTGTAAACCCTCAACCACTAGGCTACATCTGGCCCCATAAAGTGATGGAACAACTTTTTTTGATACTCTATGTTGGTAGTCCATGATCAGTGATGATTTGACAAACTATGAGCAAAACGTGCATATTCTGAGTACTGTGTCTTAACAGCAGTTATTATTATATTACATTAAAACATGTGTAATGAAATCTTCAAACTGTGCTCTAATAAAAAAAGATAATGTTTTATTATCTAATTACAAACATGTTTACAAATATCAAAGACTAGATATAATTGTCATTTAGAAATCCACATTTCTATACAAGTTTAATTTTACAATATCTTCAAGAACATGTTGCATCATTGCCAACTGCAATGCCTGTCATAAAACATCATTTATTATAAAAAGTCAACAAAATACTGCAGTTTGACCAATTTTGTTTAACGTGAGTTAAAAGCATACCTTCCTCAAAACTTATAAAATTAAACCTACCTCTAATAATATACAACAGTTTTAATATTCTTGTGATAATTACCTTATTCCTAGTATGTATGTTGAACTTTAAACTGACTGTAGCTAGCTTCATCTAGTTATTACATAAGCTTGAATCAACCTAAGTTTATTACTTTCATGTGATGTGAAGAATGGTTTGAAAGTATTTTAATTATCAACTTGTTCTTATCCACCATTTACAATTAGTGGGGTCCACATATTTCAACAAATTGAGTAATAAGGCCTAAGATGTTCTTGACTATTACAACCCTCAGTGTCAAGAACTAACCAAAACAGAGTGAAATCATTCATTTTCTGTGTAAAATACATAGGGAAACAAAACAATAACTAGTGGGATTTATTACAATATACGTTGTATTTTTTTATTGACTCATATTATTAGGACCATGAGCAAATTGGTATGTAAACAGTTTAGAAAATGTCTTTAAAATTCAACGGAGTTTGTATGAGCTCCATTGTTAATTGCAGGATTGACAAAATCAAATTAAGAAAATTTCTGATGAAAAAAAAATTTTTTTTTGTTCTTGTACTACTACTACTACTTATTTCAAATTAACCAATCATTATAGTTTCTGAAAATTAAATATGAAAACAAAAACTAGTTTATAGTTATACATTAGTTCAATATTTATTTCTATGATTGGCAAGCATCAATTATTTACTGATTTATACTGATTATAAAATCAAAACATACATGTGTTATGCTGATTTCCCCTGAGTTGGAATTATCAAGGTTAACAGCCACATTCTTCTGCTGTCTGAAAGTTTAAGAAAGAACAAACTTTATAGACACATCCAATATCATAAAAGTAAAAAATATTGTATTTCATAGACTTCAATGTTTAAAAACCCATTAAACATAAAATGTATAGTTTTAACAACATTTATTTGGCCATATATTTCCTAAATAATATTCAATAATGACAAATACATTAACTATTTTTAAATTGCCCCCCCCCCCATCTCCCCTATAATCTGTTTCAATTTTAACAAATATAAATTTCTTTCTCATTGCACTAACTAGTGTGATAAACACTACATATAGTTTTCATCAAGAAGTTTGGGTTGAAATACAGTAAGATTATCAGATCTTCCAATGCCAGAACATGATGATGATGGTAGAGTTAGAAAGGCTAAACATTATCCCAAGAACCTGTATCAATGACTCCATTGCTTTACAAGAAACATTACAGCACCAACTGTTGCCAATACATTTTAAATACCTTACACTTTTAGGCTAAAATAGTGTCTTTCTCACTTAAACAACAAAATGTAAATTTTTAATTAACAGTTGCTTGAATGACATATGAAACTTGTTTCCAGTGTGGAAATATTTTCGTTTGCTAATGCTGCTATTTTTGGTACATAGTATCAAAACCCACTAAAACAGGTTGTTTTGTGGTGTTTTTTTTTACTTTGTGGGAGATTATTTTATGATGTCAATTAAATTCATCTTTTAGCATCAATCAAAAATTGCTTACACAAGATCTTGAGACTTACTGCTGTCAGTTACATTATTTATTCATCTTGACTTTTAGGCCTAATGCTTTTAATTCCATCACTTATTTATCATCTTGAAATGTGTACATGTAGCGCACACTTTTTAGGTATGCAATATAGAAAACGTTTTGGGGATTAATTTTGGGGAACCTTTTGATATTCTCTATTTTTATTTTCTCAGCTGATGGGAAAGGGGAAATATATTGTACAGGTGAAAGCATAATTCATCCCCCATACACCAACTTTATCATGGTTGAACAGCGATATGCAGCGGCAAAAGTAAAGCAGTGAAAGTTGGAGAAGATCCAGAATTTATCCAAAAATTTCTGTAAAAGCACACGATCCTGCTGAAGATACGTGGCAGTCATGTGACTTTGTTACATGATCTACATAATGTATAATATAACCATTAGAAAAACTTGATTTCTCTGGGAATCCATTATAACATTGCCCAGGTAAATACACCTGTGTGGGGATATAGGTCTGTACATGCCATAAATTCTACAGCACACATACAATTGCAGCAAAGAATTCATATTTTCTAGACATAAAAAAACAATCTCGAAACTGTAAGTAACACAATAATTAATTTAATAAATGAAAAAGTGAAAATCAGGCTTATTCAAAAAAATGGGACCCCTCCCCCTTATTTCCCCAGTAATCTTTTTCTTTTATCTAGATTGTTCCAATATGTTTTTTTGCCAATTAGTATTTCTTGTTCTTTACTTGCAAAAGACACACCAATACTCTGGTTTAACACTTGTTTCTAGTCATCAAGAGTCCTTTTTTGCTTAACTTCAAAAGTGTTAACATAGTATTTTATACATGTTTTAAAGAGAGGAAAGATATAAACGAACATTTACGTTGATAAATTAATTTCAATATTTTTAAGTAAAAAGGATAATTTTCTGTGTAAACGATAATTCATGGCTACTATGCATAATAAGGTTCAATCAAGATTCTAAATAATGTATCGTTCGTGTTACAACTAAAACACATATTAAGTTTGTTTCTTTGAACTTTAAAATTTCCATATTGTTTCCCAGTGTTGTTAAAAAAAAGTCATCTACTTAATACTTGTAAGTAGACTGTATGTTAACAGAAATCAAAATTAACGTTATCAATGAAAATTGATGATTTTAGAAGATATATCAAAATAAGTTAACACTCACTTTAATTTCTCTCCAACAACATGCAAGACCTTGGCCTGATCTACTCCGAAATTCTGATGGTTTTCATTTTTAAGACTGACCTGAGCAGCTTCTATAGCAGAGGGAATGTTATCGAACACGGAGATGTTTTTTTTCCAAACAAGATATTTCAAGTATGTGCGTCCTTGAATTAGCTCCTGAAGCTCCCTAAAATGAAGGGATAATGGAAGCCCTTAAAGACTTGCGAATTGTTATGATCATTGGTTCAAACAGAATGATTTATTTATGATGAGGTTAACAAGCTTCATTCACCTGTAGTATTCTGAAGACAATGTTTCAAATTACCACCACATATTTTCCTCAAGTTTATTAAATAACAAATAATGTTCTTCATAATGCATAAGACTAACGTGCTATAAAACTTCCCAATCACAACAAGTTTATACTAACAAATCATTACGACTTTCTATACACATAAACAGTAACCACAAATTGCTAATCATACCTTTCACTAATCTTGTATTCAATCACAACAAGTTTATACTAATAAATCATTACGACTTTCTATACACATAAACAGTAACCACAAATTGCTAATCATACCTTTCACTAATCTTGTATTCAATCACAAGTTTATACTAACAAATCATTACGACTTTCTATACACATAAAGAGTAACCACAAATTGCTAATCATACTTTTCACTAATCTTGTATTCAATCAAAACAAGTTTATACTAATAAATCATTACGACTTTCTATACACATAAACAGTAACCACAAATTGCTAATCATACCTTTCACTAATCTTGTATTCAATCACAAAAAAATGTACAAATTTCAATACAACTGGCTTGCATTTCTTGTAATGTACAAAAGTCAATCTAATTCGTAACCTAGCCCAGTATCAGCTATGGCTACTCTTCTATTAATGCTTTGTTTATGTTTTGTGCTGGATCCCAAACATTTAAACATTAAACGAAAGACAGCTGAGCACGTGTGTGTGTGTGCTCGTCTTCACCGGTGATTTACCATTTTAAAAATGAATTGAACTAAACAATTCTAAAAAAAAATTCTTCAGTTATGTTTTAAGGGTAAAATTCCCGGTTATGATGATCAAAATGAAATTATCTTTTTTTGTAAATTAAATTAAAAGAAATGCCACTAGAACTAAAGTAACAAAAAATAAAGTTTTTTTTTTTATAATTATAGATAATCTTGATTTCTTCCAAGTAAGTTATTTTTCTAGATATTTGTTTAAATTTAGTTTGCTTTATTTATTGAGTAGCATTACAAAATATACAGAATGTATATGATAGGAGCCTCAAATAATTTGTTTTCTGTAGCTTCAAGCGTTCTAAAACCGTTTCTTTTAAGTCAATCAACCAATCTTTAGCTCTGAAGAAAGTTAATTTAAAAATTACACTAACAATGAAGAAGTTTGCCATAACTATTTATAAACAGTTCTTCCACCTCTTCTATTAACTAACCTTTCCGTAATTTTCTCTCCCATGACAGTAGTGCAACCTTCATTTCTCAAGTGGTAAATAACCAAGATTAAGTTTTTTGAAGTCCCTAAAAAGTTCAATCACACTCAGTTACTTCTTTACCCTAAAAAATCTTAAACATCTAACAAAAGATTAAAAATAAATGCCTCACAATAGTTGCATATATTAATTAACAACACAAACACTTATAGAATTAGTAATATCAATACTCTGATGAAGTCTATTAATCAACAGACCTTACCTTTATGTGTAGTTCCTACTTATTATTCAGCTTTACAACGATTTGAAATTATTCATTACATACAGATTTATGCACTCATTCAGCAAATGGTTCGTAATACTGGAAAATGATAAGTGTTAAATGTATATGTTTTTGTATGTGAAATTGTAACCACTTGGTGATTGATTCAATATAACCTAAAAATATTTAGGACACTTGTATTCATATAACACATTTGAAGTTTTAAATATAGGTATTCAGTTCTTAAACCTGAAAACAAAAATCAAATCAAATCTACATTCAGGCTTAAAGACTCATCTCATTTGAACCTGTGGATAAGCAGGATGACAACTTAAGTAAATGATTTATAATTAAAATAGCAGTTTACCTGAGTTGGAAAACTTGTGTCATTTATATAATCATAGGTAATATGATTTATAATGTCTACTGGCAAGGCATTTTGAATGAGAACTTTGATATTTTATGGTTCTTTATGGACAAATTAGATAATTTATTGCATATGAGACTAATACATTAACCAGATTTTTCTCAAAAGAAACCAGTATTAAACTATAAAAATTCAAATACAGACAACTGAAAGCCTTCATATGAAATAATTCACATTAAAGTCAAATTATTAGATTAGATTCATTTACATAATTGAATAAAAGATTAAGAAAGATAAAGTAATTTCTGTTTATTGTAAAGCACAAGGTTAGAAAAAGTGCTATCTGTCCTCTGCCCACTGTGAGTATCAAAACCCAATTTTCAGCATTATAACCTTTAGACTTACCACTGAGCTACCATATAGATATTACATCAATTATGAAAAATTTAACAGTTTTATAGATCATCCTGACAACTGTTTATTTGTCTAATTTTTTTTTTAATATTTGTTTACAATTGAATATCAACAAACCCAACAATATTATTCTTAGGTATATTTATTCATAATAAAAGGTGGTATGTTAGAATGTTAAATATTTCATAAAAATACTTTAAGTTGCATGTATTTTGCCTTTACACAAGTTTTTCTTAAGAAATATCTGGTTAAAATATTAGTTCAAAGATACATATTATCCAGCAAGGATGATTTTTTTTTCTAAAGAATTAGAAAGTATCAAAAAGTTATTACAAAAAGCCTTTCCTATAGGCATTACAAATCAAATTATAAGTGAACATTTTAATAATACAAGTGTTTTTACACAGCCAAACTGGAATGTTTCTAAAAAAAATTCTTTAGTATTTCCATATACACATTATTTTAATTTGAAATTAATTATTAATTTATGTAATCATTTGCTTACCCACTGCTCAACTGATACATGTCTTCAAAAATTAATGTAGATTAAAACATGCTTTTCAGGTTTAACAACTGAATACCTGTACTTAAAACTTCAAACATGGTGTACAAACATAAATGTTCTGAATGTTCTTTAGGTTATACTGAATCTACCACCAGATGGTTACAAGTTCATATACGAGAAAACACAAATTTGAAATCTAAATCCAAACTAAGAACCATGCTCTGAATGACTATAATGAACCTATGAATAGAGTAGAATTTAAAATCGTCTCCAAAGACAAGTAATGAACAGAACAGTGCAATTTGTATATAGAAATAACTAAGTACACAGTTATATAAATTAAAAAATTCACAATTTAAAAAAAAAAGGAACAAGAAAATTTCCTGAGAAAAAGAAATAATTTGAAGGTTTTTAACACGTTAATAACATTTTACAAAATACAAATATAAAACTAATGCTTGTAAAATTTTGTAGCATGTATTACAAAACCATATTAGACAAGTTCTATATACATTTGACAAAAAAAAGGCAAATAAAAAGCCTCTAGATCAGTTTAAAACACAAATATCTTATTTTGTATACATACTAATAAAGTTTCTTAATTTTAAATCAAAACTCTTTTACAGAAGAACCACAATTCAAATCCATTTTTCTCTCAATTAAATTTTGAAATACACCAGCAACAAAAACATGAAACATACACATCTAATACTGCCATACTGATAATAATATGTTAATACACTTTAGTTTCAGGACACACCTGCTATATGGGCTGCTTCAATCATCGATGCCACAGATCTTGTCTGGGTGTCGATGACAAAAAGCAGAACTTGAGCACCCTAAAAATAAAAGGAAAAAAAATTAGTCAATTTTTTGTAATATCAAAAAAAAGTGAAAAATGAGTGCACTTGAGCTGAAATGTGTTTCTTCATCATGCATGCTTGACTTCAACAACATGACTAAACCCAAGCTTAATTTACTCATCAAGCAACATGACACAGAACCAAGATAAGTTCTCTTCTAACTTAACTCGCATTCAATTAGTAAAAACAATTGCAAGAGAGAGAGATAAAAATATTAATTAACAAATAATATGATCCACCTTATTTATTGTCACTATCCTTAGCTTCAACAAAAAATATTGATCTGAAAACACTTACTTCTTTTGCCTCGTTCTCACAATTAATCAATTCAGGTCCCCACTGTGCACACTGCTGAAATGGAAAAATATATTGTCTAGCAATTTTTTAAAAATTTTTACTTGTCTAATTCATAAGTGTTACAGGAAAAGATTTCAGCAGATAAAAGTTATTTTGATTCTAATTTTGTGGATTTACAATGCAAGAATTATTTTGCTATTTAAAGAAAAGCTTAAGCATTAATACTTAGTACAAATAATAGCATATAAACTTTGCTTAGATTTAACATCTTCTTGAAACAGTACCTCATGCATAAAGACACATCAAAAATAAAATGAAAAAATGAGCTTACATTTACACAAGTTACTGAAATAATAGTTCATAATCTAGCTTTAATGTTTATTATTAAATATACCTTACCTTAACAAACCCATATTAAGTCAAACATCAACTATGAAGACAATAACCTTAAACGTTCACATATATTTCTCCTCAAATCAATGCATGATAGTTCAAGAACACAAACTATTTTTCACATACACATGCAAGAATGATGAAGTCTTGGTTTCCTATTTAATAATGTATGAAATGACTGACATAATGTAAACTAGAATATACACACACACACGCATATATACAGATAATTTATTACATTACTTAAAGTTATCTGAACTACTGCTTATATAAATACAAGAAACTAAATTTTTGAATAATTCATTCTGTAAAATTGAAAACCCCTTTAACATACAACATTCAAAAACAGCTAAAATGGGATAGAAAAAATATATAATCTAAAAACAATATTTTGCCACTGTTAACGTGGCATCATCAGGTATTCAGCACAATTGTACACAACACTTAGGTACACCCTATTGGTGACGTCAACCATACAACTTTGAGCTAACATAAGTATAAACCTACTTGTGTTTTATTTATTAAAGGCTTGTATTCCTTTATTACGATGGCTTCTTTTGTTTTTTATGTTTATTAATATTAGGTTCTCGACAAATAATTTTAACAATTTTTAAGTGGAGTATTGTGCTGAATACCCGACGATGCCACGTTAAAAGTGGTGAATTGTTGTTTTTAAATTATATATATTTTTTCTATCCCATTTTAGCTGTTTTTAAATTTTTAATTTTGTAAAGTGTGGGATACCTCCAACATTTATAAAGTTATATACAAGTTATCAAAAAGAATTATAAAAAACTCGGCCATCTATCTACTGCTACATCATAATGATAGGCAATGATTACACTTAAATACTGAGATAAATAAACTTACTGGGTTATAATAAGCAATATTTAGCTTATTCAATATGGGAATGGCTATATCTCTTCTCCAAGTTGTTGGGTTGCATGATCCACCCAAAAATACTAAAAAATAATAAAACTTATGTAAAAAAACATAACAGAAACAAGCAAATGGACAAATGCATAGGAATACATAAGGAACAGTGAATAAAAGTGGACCTAAATACTACATAATAATACAATAAAATTATATGACAAATCAGAAACAATGAAAATAAAATAAATGCACATGTTTGGCAAAATTAGAAAAATATAAAAAGAATATATTAAAATGTATTAGACAAAGAAACAAAATGTAAAAAATACAGATGCAGCTATATCTGGATAGACCTATGCATAGAAACACCATAATACTGAGGCTAATTGCATTTTATAAGAATGATGCTTCAAGTATTTTACTGTCCGTAGAGCATCCTCTTCATGCTAAATCTGATGGCCATGGGTATTGCACTTTATACTGCAACAAGTTTCTGTGAAAAACAGTAAGGTCAACTGGACGAACGTTCCATGGGTCTTCAACTGTATGGGGACATCAGCTCTACAAGATCATGTTTATACTGCACTGGAGTATCTGATGGGCGGGTATGTGGTTGGATGGGATTGCTGCAAAGCCAATTTCTTTGGATATCTTTCTTATGAAAACAGGTATTGATTATGAGATGGAGCTTCTGAAATTCTGAATTATAAGCTATTTTCAAGTTTAAATCCTTTTTTACTATATTGTTGAAATTACCAATAAACATGCTTAGCTTCATCACAATGACTTTTTGGGTTCGAGGATTCTATTCTGTAACCACAGCTTTCACTTTTTGGTTAAGAGCATTGCTGTGAACTGGCTTGGATGTGGTTTAAGAACATGTTGTTGTATTAAATACTTTGCAAGCTTTTCTGTTTGCATGGAGAACATGAAAATACAGACCTTTGGTTCTACATCATATAACTGTCTCAATATATGAATATACTTTCTTAAAAAGACTGTGACATATTCCTCCAGAGAGCATTGCTGTGAACTGGCTTGGATGTGGTTTAAGAACATGTTGTTGTATTAAATACTTTGCAAGCTTTTCTGTTTGCACGGAGAACATGAAAATACAGACCTTTGGTTCTACATCATATAACTGTCACAATATATAAATATACTTTCTTAAAAAGACTGACATATTCCTCCAGCTATAAGCCTACTCATGCTTGCATGCGCAAGATTGAATAGTGGAAAAATTCATTGTGAACCAAATTAACGATGTAGTTATACAGAAGGAATCTGCAACAACACACTACTAACATAAATAAATCATTTGGATAAAAGTATGGCTAACAAACTTTAAAGCAAGATGTAAATAAAATAATTCTTGTGTACACATCTGTACTCAGCAGCACCAAAAACATGAAACTAATAGAAATGTTGCAAAGTAAAACAGAACAAATAATTTACATATAAGTATAGGCCAAATAATTCATACATGAGAAGCTAAGCAATTGGATACCAGGCCTATAATTCATATAAGGAATTCAAAGGTAGCAGCAGTGCTGACATTATTTGACAATTAATTTATTTGATTTAATCAGAGGATGATTTGCTACAACTATTTGTACGACCATTATGGAAGATTTTTTGTTTATGGTTTTTTGGCATGGACAATAAATGCCATCTCCACCATACAAGGTGGATAAAAAACCTTCATAAAATGTAAAAGAATTCTTATGTTGGAGAACGACATCACTTCCTATGACACTGGCCCATGTAAAATGTATGTTTAAATAACTGTTTAAAGTAATGTCACCATCTTGCATCAAGTTGACAGAAGGAAAGTATGGACAACATTCCTTCTTATTGAAACATTATTAGTCCAACATCCACTAACTGGCAGTGAAGACCTTCCCAGGTAACATGTTTAAACTCCACGTATGGAGTGGGAGAAAGCTCAACAGCAACAAAGAAAGTTGACATGGTTGCAAGGTCAACCGTATTACTCTCTCGGATTATTGCATGGTTATGAATCCAATGAAGTTTGAAAAACAAAGATAACAGGGATAAATGGACCAATTGCTCAAGCAGGTGAAAGACAGCAAGATGAAGTACACTGGAAAATGATTCTAGAAACACCAATGAAATAAACAAGCTATTATGAATAGTTTACTGGCTATTGTGTATAATAAAAAAATAAAATTTTGTGTATGCATATGAAATTCTAATTTTGTTGTAAGAATTGTACGCATAAAATTTTTTTTTAGTAGTCTGAGAGTTCTTAGGTTTTCAGCAGAACACAATTTATATATTATTACAATCCGTGATAGCATCATGAACATGTAAATTTATACACTACAAGTGAATGAAGAGGAAATGTGTTATGTCTTTGAATTTGCAGTAGGGACTTCACAATTATTTTAAAAGAAAAGAACTTGTGGAGCATCTGTATGATCCTAGATAAGTCAGATTATATACAATTCTGAAGGAAACACAGAGGCCCCTGGAAAACCAGGGGTATCCAATATCTTACAGCAATTCAAGGACAGATCATGTGGGAACAGTTACAGGTCTTGGTGGTACATACCAACCAGACACAGCAACTGTCTCACAAAACAAACCAATCAATATCTTGACAAAGACAAAGCAAAAACTAGCAGATCATCTAATCTACAAATAAAAAGCATAGCTTACAAAGGTATAAAGATTCAATGACAAACGGAATGATTAGCAGCATATTATAGAGACAGCCATGCAATAACTTTTATAGAAATAAAAGTAAGACATTCACAACAAAGTCTTAAGAAACACTCAAATTGTCTCTGAAAGATTGGGAAACCATCAAATTACAGATTTCAAAACACTGTAATGCTAAAAAGTTAATCACAAACTTGATAACTGCTATGTAATCCATAAGGACGAAGGTCTCTTAGTTATCTATACTTCCATTTGCCTTTTCCAAGAGTAAAATTCTGAGCCCAGCTACTCCAACTTTATAAATATCTCCTATACAAGTGTTTCAAGTTTAATCATTTGATCAACAATGTATTTTTACTTTGAAAAGTCACACTGTGTATTAGAACAAGAGATTGTATCTAGGAATGAAATAAGATTAACTGTTCTATTAAATATCTAACTAAAGCAGCTAGCCAAAACAATAGGTATCTAATTAGAGGGGCTCTTGAGATCTTTCAAGGGTATTGTGAAAAGTTCCCTCCTACCTAATGAAATAAAAATAAAAAGAAGACAAATTTAACAATTTAAGTATTAAATATCAATGTAGCACCTCCATAAATGACCTGATATTGTCCACTTGGCCATCAGAATAAAATCTCAGAGGAATGCCTTAGACCAGGTTTTAATGGCCAGGAGTTTGGAAGAGTAGTGGAAGGTACAAGAAACACTTCCCCACAAGTGTTGCCATTTCTCAAAATATCAGCCACTACCTGTCCCTCAGGGTGCAAGATCAAAAAAAGGGTGGGAAGTCTAACTTCCAGTCAAAGCCCAAACAATCGTGGTACTGTTGGAAGAAGAGATGCTAGAAATATGCATCCTTTAGACTTTTCCACCCGATATGTTGATTCTTCCAAAATGAGATATTCCAAGCACTGTTCTGGACTCAATGAGCCTGCTCTCAGTCAGCAGTCCACAATGGTTAAAGGTAATAAGGGATGTGTATCAAAGGTTTCAAGTAAAGGAAAGCCAACTGGTCTGATCAAATTCTCAGTATGGCACATAAATCAATTTAAAAAGGTTCCAGCAACTTGCCAAAAATGATCACTACCATGTGGATTGATGTCTATCTTCCAGGAAAACAATAGAAGGAAACAAGGTGCATGGATATACTGATTACAGTAAAAGTTTGATCTGCATGTGGAAGAATATCTGGGCACCAAAGTTGAAAAGAGAGGTTACGACCTACAAGTAAATGTTCTTCTTCTCCCACTAGTATTAATAAAACATCTATGTATCTAAGTGTCAATCCACAAGATCATTTAAGGTCAATTGATTAACATCCACCCCTGGTGACAAAGAAAGAGAACAAACCATGACAATAATGCCACTGGAAACACAAATAGCAACACTTACAGGATATGATGGCTCACTTACATATACACATCCAGCATAAATCGTACCTTTTCATAAATGTGAAAATTGCCATAATGACAAAGTATCAGCAGGTTTGAAAAATGTTTCCTGTAGTATGGATACAAACCAAAACCATCACATCATAATGCTTATCTCTGACAGACTTATCAACTTCCATCAGACAAGTCCTGGAAGTGGAATACCATTCATACAAAAAAAAATTATAAAGAGTGGTGTGAAACTGCACCAACAAGAACTAATCAGGTACAGCTCAATACGCATGCTACATGATGGCAAGTTGAAACAGACTTGTTCAAAGTTGTATCTGCAGCAGTCAATAAAACTCACTGTAGAACACTAAAGACTTGGATGGTCTTCAAGATACAGATGTATGAAAACTGATGAATGCATAACTCCAGGTAGATAGATGTTACTTACCATTTTCATAATTCTACTTAGGGCATGACCATAAGTAAAAGGTGAGCCTTTACATTTTACACATGGTAAATCAGCATTATTGTCATCACAGTCATGGACTTTAAATGATCAGGGATCCATGCCAGGAGGTATTAGAATACCCAAAATAATTTCTGGAAGTAAAAGGTGAGCCTTTACATTTTACACATGGTAAATCAGCATTATTGTCATCACAGTCATGGACTTTAAATGATCAGGGATCCATGCCAGGAGGTATTAGAATACCCAAAATAATTTCTGGAAGTTGAAAAATGTAATTGGATTTTTAAGATATTGCTAACAAGACAATTTAAATACCCTGCCTTGATCCTGGCAAAAGAACAGGGAGATGAAAAGATAAGAATAAACACCCTGTTCAACTCATTGCACTATTTTAATTCGCAGAGACCCATTTGATAGTTACAACATCTTGGTTCTACAAGTTTAGAAAAAATTACTTCTTCCAGAATACCGAGAGGTCATGATTCACTAATTATTCAGGGCTTTGGTAAGGTCTTGCGTGAGCTTTGTCCATTTAAATTTCCATGACAATACAAATTCTATTAAATGCCCATTGGCCCCCAACCATCATGAAGTCTAACAAATGAATGTCAAACTGATATTTGGATTTTTGAAGTACTATATTAACAACACCAGTCAAAGGAAAAATCCAATCAATGGGCTCAGTTGACAATAGCCACTACTGACCAGTCAATTAACCCCAAGGAAACATCTCCAGGACCATCTCTCAATACGAATGTGCAAAAAACTGTTGTGGCAAGCCAGAAAGCACTCAACTGACAATATACTTTTCTTCTCTTTATAGGTTATCATACATGTTACTAGGTTACTCTGTAATTCCGGAAGTGTTGATGTCTGGATCCCAGAGGAGGTGGTCCTGTTATGAAGAGGAGCCCCACAACAAAAGTTGATGATGAATAACAATACTAATTATTTAAAATATATAAGGAAAACAAAATTTTCCAAACATTTATAAACCATATTAAGTACATGTTTACTTTACAATAAAAGAAAAAAACACTGTAATCAAAGGTGTATAATTAAATTATCTCAACTCCCTATGGAAAATTACTGCTACGACTAATATAAAAATGTTCATCTGATTGAAGTACGTGTCACATACAAAAAGCTTGAACACTTCGAATAAAATATACACACTTTTATTGAAAATAAAATCACTACTTCAAAAGGAAGCACTTTCCAAATACGTTTATACAACAGATTCTTTAACTTCATTTTATGGTTAAGTAAGAGTAAAAGGTGAAACTTTTTTTAGAAATTAGATTAAAACTTTATATAGAAGAGATTAACTTAAAACAACTTTGTTGCAATACTGAGTGCAAAGATGCAAGTTTGAATGTCGATTTTCTAGACTATCAATTTTTTTTCTCCATAGAATCAAACTTACCATATGGTTCATTTTCTCTTTCCACCTCAGATGAGGGTTCTAGGCTTGCATGGTAAGATACTCTACAGAAAAACATAGTATTTAGTAATCAATTTATAAATAACACCTTTATGAGTATAATAAATCTTGTTTTGGTTTTAACCGAGTCATTCCAAACCTATTAATACTAGAAAGTTACATATAGAAAGACCTTTCTAAGAAGATTTATCTTTAAGATATACAAATATCTATATATTATATTAATTATGCCCCCACTGCGAAGCATCACAGAGTTGGGGTATACCAAATTGACCCTGTTCATCTGACCAAATCTTATCAACAGTGGATGGATTAATTTTGAACTATGAACAAAGTCCTAGATCTGATTAACTCTTTAAAATCACGAGTGAAAGGTCAAGGTCAAACTGGAGTGTTTCTTAAACAATTTGCACTTGTCTTTTTTTTTAAACTCCACTAATATTTTCATAAGCACATTGATAATCCTTGTATTGCTTTCTTTTCACTCTTCTTGTAACCACCATTTATTTTCTCCTTCCTAGTGTTACTTTGAAAGAAGTACAAGAACAAACTTTGGTAGCAAACCTGTCTTCAGAGATATAAAAGTTATGCTACACCATTCTTTAAGATTTACACCTATGACATGGATATCTTTCACGAAAGCTTATGCACAAAATAATATTCTAGAAAATATCAAAACAATACCTACTATAAGATTATCTTCAAAAAGATTTTGGTAGACACTAACTTTGTACAAATTTCAATACATAAGTTATTAAAAAAAAATGGAGTAAAATTAAGAAGGACTAGCATTATCCAAACACGTTTTTAATAAACAAAAGCAAAAAAGTTTTAGCACTAATTTTAAACAGAATTCATCATTATCTTTAAGCTTACAATCAGTTTTTTTTTTGCTTAGATACAATTACAAAATAAACAAACTAACAACAATACTACGATATATTTGATTACATTCATATTACTCCTCATTTCTTCTCATGTAACAAAATGCTATCAACAAAAGATACAGGTAAACCTTCTGACAAGACCTTTTGTAACATTTTAGAAATCTCTTACAGCTCTTCACAGAGAATTTATAAATGTTTTATTTTGGTAAAATATAATATATAAAATGTATTTATAAAACAAAACAGTAGTATAACTCACTTTTTTCCAAAATTGAGGCAATCTCCATTTATCATTGGTGCAATATCACTCTTACTCTGAGACATTTTTTGTACTGAAAATACAAAGCAAGTATTATGCATTTTGAGTTAAAGTATGTACGTTTTGTATATCTTTTAATGTTTTGAAACAGTATACAAATAGGAAGGAACTTAAATGTGTAAATAAAAGCTACTCTTAAACCATCAGAACATCTTGGAACATCTCTAAATTTTTGGTTGTAGTACAGAGGTAATAACTAAAAACTTAACAGTTAAAACATATTAAAATATCCAACAGTTTTACTTCAAGACTGTAAATACCACAACTCTTTATACATAGCTAGCCTGAAACAATTAAGTTTCAAGAATATAAAGTTAAACCATACTTAACTGATGCATTAAACTACTGCACATAATATAAGAAATTTATCAACATACATATCCAAGAAATTAAAACATCACTTAACACCTAAAATCAAGTTGGCCAACTTCTTAAAAGTATGTTGTTACCAGTCATTTTTCTGCTATAATTCATCAAGGGTTAAGTACTTACATTGAAATTTTATCTTGTGGCGTTGTACCAACAGGATTTAGCTATCCTATTAACTGTAGTTAATCTACTTTTTTATTATTAATAATAAACTATAACCAATCAGTTTGTTTTTTTGTTTTTCAAAGTCAGCTGCAACAATCTAATTCTCCTTCTGTCACTGGTCAACTATAACTAATCCTCTTCTTCAAATGGTAAGTTAACAGTTTGACTCTTCCTGTTGGTGGCTGATTGTAACTCAAATTTTATTTTTGTTTAAGATGACAAAGTCTAATCATTCAGACAATTACCAACGTTAGGTATATAACATTTCCACAGTATTGGCTGTAACAAATCAATGCTATTGTTAAATATTAGTTGTAACTATTCAACCTTTCTACAATGTTCACTTGTGACTAATTAACTCTAGTTAAGGATCAAACATTTCTGTAAGTAATGAAAGTTATTAGTGGTCAGTTGTAACAATACAACATTAGTCACAAGTGAACATTGTAGAAAGTTGGATAGTTACAGCTGACCATAAATACAAGTTGATTAGCTATAGATGGATATTGTAGAAATCAACTTTTGATAATGATGAACTGGTTAGCTTTAACTATATAAAACATTCTACTAATGATATTTTTGATAACAAACCAAACACTACTTGCAAGTATTATGTTAGTGGTCACCTTTACACTTTTCTATCATTTTCATTCAGTTGGTTATCGGTAAATATCTCAACTAATTTTCCCTTCTAACTTTCTTATACCCAGAAAAGCTAACATGTGCCTTCCTTTTATAAATGACATTTATCTATAAGCTATATCAGCTTTGGGGTAAAAAGCTGATAAAGTACATGTTATTTTATCAGTGTGTTGGGACAGGCCATTGAAACACTCTTTATCAAGGAGCTAATTTCAAACTATTGTGAAATAGAAATTATCAAACATATAAATTAATTGAAAAGAATAAAAAAAATCAACATTACAATAATCAAAATCAAACAAAGGAAAGCATTTAATAAAGATTTGTTTTTGGTTTACTCCAAACATTTTGTTTGAAACCATACTAGTAAATCTATGTATCACAAATTATTCTAGGTATAGCTCTCAAAAGTTTATCTATTAAAACACAATTTAGGCTTACTAATATTTGCATTGCAATGTTTGTATCTGAAATCCTATTTCACCCTTTACTTTTGATAAAACACTCCGAGTCAGAATACATTTCATTTCCATCCATTCAGTAAAAATATTTAAATTTTAGAATCATATGATTAATTAAATTTCACAACTAATTCAAACGTCTAAGTAGGAATATTGTTGTTAAAAAGATCAATACATGAATCTTTTCTCAATCTGTTCTCCTTTGTAACTCTAAAATTTGTGATAAAACATACAAAGTACAAATGGCCTGAAAAAAACAAAACATAGAATTTTTTAAAGGTGATTTTCAGGGGCATTGCATACAAGAGATTTGGGAAATAGCTGAGCCCCCCCCCCCTCAAATAAATGGTCCCTCACAGAGTATTATTCACAGTAACTCAAAAATATTATACAGTATTTGTGGAAAGAGAGAGAGATTGAAAGAGGGTGTATGTGACAAACTGAGGAGAGTTTATCCATTTAGGAATATGAACCGCTTCTTCCCGATTTTGCAAATTTAGAAAAATAACTACGAGCTTCAGAACCGAACTATGGTTAATTGTAAAATAAACAATCAGTAACTTTGTAATCAATATAGAAATAGAACAAGTAGAATAAAATGATAGACTTTAATGCTGATAGGTTGAAATAACACAGTACTGTTGTTTACTTACTTTGTGATTTAGAAAAACGAAGCTCCTATCACAAAAAGGCAGGGCAGCAATCTAGTGTTACAATAATTGAATGTTTGACTTTTCACACCACAACTGATAAATCTTTCAGAGTAGAAAATCTTGTATAAGGTTTCAATATCTTAGACGTGAACAAAAATCTACACAAGAAAAAAGTATGCAACTTATAATCCATTTTCTGTTTTAGTGTAATATACTAAAACATTTTAATTTATACTATAAACAAAACCAGAACAGGTTTGAACTTTAAAAAAAAGTTAATAGCATTAAGAGATTAACGGGAAAAAACCAACAATTACAAACAAATACAAGATGGTTCAGAAATGTTTATCTTTAAACATTAGAAACCTGTTGATATATTTAAATTTCTATATTATTTAAAATTGCAGTAATTTACATGTAAAAAAGTTTAATAATATCTACTAAGGTTTAATACAAACAATAACTATAAGAAATGGTTCAATTCATGTTTGATTACGTACATGTTTAAACTCAAAATTAAAAATAGTAACAGCAAAACTTTAGTAATTGAAAAGGCACAAACGACTGAATATTTTGTCATCATGTGTAAAAACAGACATAGAATTTTTTTTAATTGCTGTAATTTTGAATATTTAATATTTTAATCGAATATACATAAAAGCCAGTTTCTGTCTTTTTGTAACACTGCATTCCAACAATCGTTTTTAGCAATAAAGATATGACCTGGTATTGTTATTAGTCTATGTACTGATAGTGTAAAATAAAATGTCTAGACAGTGAAACTTAAAAAATATGTTTTGATTTGTTAATTTAGTGTTTATGCTGATTAAAAAGGTTTCTATTTTTTTCATAACTTTGGAGATATAACAGCAAAATAGTTTAATTCAGAAATGATTTAAGTTTAAAATTGAATTTATATTTTTTTCTTCCACAAGATATTTTATGCTCTTGGGACCTAGGCTAGGTGATTCCACATTATGTCAAAACTTTAGGCATAAATACAAAAACTAGTACCCTTAAACACACTTATATAAAATTTACAAATGTATATTTAAAGTGTGTACTAGGTGGAAGTAACAGAGAATGGGATGAAAGGTCTTTTGTTTTGAGTTGAAATAATTTAAGTTCAACGGAACGTTGAAAGAACAGAGGAACAATGTCATCAACAAAATAAAGCGTTAAACAGTACACAAGCATTCAACATCTAACAAAATATGACATATTTGCTGTATACTGTTTCTAACTTTGAGGGCTATATGTAAAAATCTAACTTTTAATTTTAAGAAAAATATTCATAAAATTTAATCCTACCAAAATAAAACTATAGAGAAACATACATGTACATAAGTACTAATTCATATCTGACTAAGTTACTTATTAGTCACTTCAACAGGCTTGTGAGTGTGAGCTTCTCAGAATCAACGGGTTTAAAAAATGTGATAAATATCCTTAGCATCACGATATGCAATTATGGGCACAAATTCAATGTTTACTGATGATTAACATTCATTCATGCATTACTTATTTCATCATTGCCTAATTTAGAAGCAACAAATAACCAACTTAATGGAGTTATTTCATTAAGATGACTAGTAAAAAAAACTGTTTGAAAGGCATTACACAATAGATAGTTTTACCTATTATGATTAACTCGGTGAACCGCATCGTGCAACAATACACGTGTTAAAAATAAAAATCTACTTGATAAGCACATGAATAAAAAAAAACAGTATTACAAGAAGAATATTTTACAAAACATCATGACACTAGAGGACAAGTATAAAAATGCTATTATATTTTCCTAGACATTTCCAATCTTCCACAATCATTTGATTAGTCAATCACAAAAATTAAAATCACAATATCTGTCTTTTGAAAAATCAATGAATATTATCTAACATATACCTTAAAATTATGATAAGATAATTGGGTAATGTGCAATTCATTCATCTTCTATTTCTTGATTAAAGATTAAACATGGCTCATAATAACAAGGGGATACTTTAACAATGTACATGTCTTTCAATTGATACTAATGTTATCCTTGATTCAAAACTGTCAAATATTATCTTAAGCTCATGGGATTACAGCTTAATACAATTGTTTAGTTTGTGCACCTAAAACCTATCAAAATATATTCCATGCATAACTTAGGTTTGACATTTTAACGTGCGACTTCCCCAGTGAGTCAAACACTATAATTAAAGACCTAAATTTAAAACTGTACATTAAGCAAACACATCACAAACAGCAATCAATCCACTAAGTTACAAGTGGACGAAGAATTATTTAATGAATGAAATATACCAATTATATAGACTTAACAAAATATATGGAATATGATCCAGTGAATTAAACCACTGTTAAGACTATTTTTTTTTTTTTTATGATATTTTTCTTCATTGACTACATTCATTTACATTTATTAAATTTTATACCCATATTTTTGGTTTTATTTATCTTGCAGTTCACGTACCCCATTCCTAATGATTGTTGAAATAGAGATCAAACTATTCCTAATACTCTAGCAACACAAGAATAAATTTTTGTTTACTAAATCAAGGATTTGTTCTTTTGAATCTTCACCTAAAACTTAATATGTTCTATATTGATACATAAATTAAAAACTGTACTTTGTGGTCATAGAAGAAACAGGAATACAACTTAAATCTCTTCTAAACCAGAACAAACTTAGTAATATGTTGATACACAAGTATTCTAACCATATAATTAATACAAAATAATAATGTATAAGGTATTGTATGCAGTTACCAAACACACATAGTCAACTCTTTGTAGTCACTGCATATAACAATATTTTGTACAATAGCATATATAATAACCCTGTTCCGGTTTCAGGCAACTCAGTAAGCCTACTTATATCTTTATAAACAAGATAAAATACTATCAGCCTTCTTTCTGTTAACCTACACGTACATACAATACTAGTTACAACAATATCACTGATATACATATAGAATTGGGTAAAAGTGACCATATGGTTGTTTCCAATTCCACTTTTTCTCCAGTAATATTTCCTCTTTTCATTGCCTGTTCTCATTTTAGTTGAATTCAATCGTTAACATAGGCGTAAATAGCTCCTACATTTCGACACTTTTTCTACTGTATAAAAGCCATGTCAAGGAGGGAGTTTTTATACCAAGGATTTATTTAGCACCGAGTGAAATTAATTTGTTATTTGTTATGAAAAGAAGTTTTTGAAAGATGATCGAGTATTTACAAGAAATGTGGTTTTAAGAGAACTATTGCAATAATACAATTGATGAGATTAGAAACTAACTGTTATCAATGAAAGCTGGGACAAGAATCGATGCTGGGAAGAGACACTAGTTAGGTAAAGTAGATACTGCTCATTATAGGCTTTGGTTTCCAAAAGCTAGAAGACCCTTTATTTTTCTTATGTCTGTTTAGAGGCAGCAAAATTCCAAATGCATACCGGAGGATTCAAATTTGGTAGGCTTTTGTTTCCCATCATTTTTGACAGGCTGTTATACTAATTTAGAACATAATATTTAATGTCTTACTCTGCAAAAAAAAAAATGTTAAATACATTTCAACTATCTTTATACTATTTTGTGTACTACCAGTACTTTTGCCCCACCTTATATATATATATATATACTATACACACAACACACAACAAATAAAATATGACTACTATTAATCTTACGAAGTGTACTACTTTATAAACTTATTTACTAAT